TGTGACACGCCATTTCCTCTCCAGATTACGAGTCATCTGCTTTAGGCTACGTGTTTGAGAATTATACCACGGAGTCAGGTACTTCTGATTAGAGACCTTAGTTTTCACAGGAGCTACAGTATCCAGAGTCGTACGTAGTGAGGAGGTGAAATTATCAGACTCTTGTTTTTTTTTTTAAAACGTGAGTATGAACTTATACAAAATGCAGCAATATATTTATAAAAAATAGTTTTATTGATCACAAAATATATCGGATTCATATCGGTATCGGCAGATATCCAAATTTATGATATCGGTATCGGACATTAAAAAGTGGTATCGTGCCATCTCTAGTAATAATATTGTCAAAAGACTCATGATTCGGCTCAGGTGCTAGAACAGGTTGTCTGCCAATCAGACGGGTGGTGGATCTTCAGACAGCACTGAATTAAAAACAGACATGATTCTGTCATAAAACTGTCATGCACTCAGGAACACTTGCAGAAGTTGTCTGTGTGTTGTTGTCTCTGACTCTATTGACTGTTTCTTATATAGCATGTTTATACCCCTTTAAAGCCCAACCCATCGCCGGTGACAGGTTAGGGTTTAAAGCAGGAGTGAGCAACTCCAGGCCGCGAGGGCCAGTATCCTGCAGGTTTAGATCTCACCCTGGGTCAACACACCTGAATCAAATGATGAGTTCATTACCAGGCCTCTGGAGAACTGCAAGGCATCACACATTCATACATGTCCTTTTGTTCTATGCTGAAGTGCTAACATGTGCACACATTCAATGATGGGTACATTGAAGTATCTTGCCTAAGGATATTATAGGATATTAGATATACAGACTGAAGCAGCCTGGAGTTGAACCACCAAGCTTTGATTAGTAGATGAGCTGCTCTACCGAGGCCTTTGAAATAAAGGTGGGAGGGACAATAGTGAACCACATACTGCAGCTGTTCCAGCAGCACAGCTTCATAGAAGAGTGCAGGTGTTGAACTGCCTGCAGTCCAGACCTTTGACTGACCTGAAACATCTGATACACCATGAAATGAAAAATATGGCAAAGCAGCGAAAAGCCTCTTCAGAGAAGAAAGGGACAACAGTCCTCTCTGAAGTCCAGCGTGGTTTTTGGTTTTTTCAAATTCAAAATGAGCTAATTTTTTCATAGATTTGCTCAGTTGAAACATTTGATTTATATTCTTTGTTCTATTTGTAATAAAATGTGGATTTAGATTTCCAAAACATTGCATTCTGTTTTTATTTAAATTTGATAAAGTGTCCTAACATTTGTTCTATGATCTGTGGCTATAAATTGACTTAAATCTTAATCAGCTCTCGGTGACTAAGTAGCAGCAGGTTTATGGAAACAGATGCTGCGTCACACACATTTGTACAAAGCTGCATGTGTTGATTAATTGTGATCGTGTTTAACATCTCCTACGTCTTGCTTTGTCAGCCCAGCTGAGCAGCTTGTCTTCACTGGCTCCAACTGAGCGCACCCAGCGGGAAACAACCCTGCAGAGCAAGCGAGCCACTGTGGAGGCCTGGCTCGCCAGAGAGGCCAGCACACTACAGAAATACAGGCTTGTATGGAGACACATCACACATACACTTCAGAATGGGTATCAGAAGATCTCCCTCCCCCTCCCTCCCTCCATTTCTTGTTGCTCTTGGTATCTAATTAGGCAATCATTTGGCAGCAGCTCAGTGCATTTAGTTGTGTAAGCTAGGGTCGTGCTGTGTCACATCCACGGTAATGCCAGTATGAAAATACCCCTGATATAAAATGTCATACCATGATATCGTTGATATATCTAGTGGTGCAAGGAGACGAGCTGGGGCGCGTCTGAAAGAGCTGCAGCAGCAGCTACATGGCAGCCTGCAGTGACTTTTACTACCTAAAACAGCTTCTGCTTCAGCAGCCTGTAGCAAAGCACAAGAAACTCATGCAGATAAAATGCAGTTGAAACTTGACCAGATGCAACATTTTCTATACAGGTTGTGTAAGTGCTGTGATAATCTCTACAGTTAAAAAATAACAACAATGAAAAAATGCTGTCTCTGGTTTGAAGACGACTCCCACGGCCCATTCAGTGAACTGCTGTCAGATGTCTGCTTAGATCTGACCACGTGCGCTCAGCGCAATCATACTCCTCAATCATTGTGGGCTAGAAGGAAAACTCCAGTGTTCCTGAAAGGAACAATTATCTTTTAAACTTTAAGCCAAAATTACAAAATAACTCCATTAGGCCTGTGTGACTCTACAGCAATAAATATCAGCCTAATACAATTGATAAGGCAAAACTGAGCTTACAGTTTTACGATGCTTGAGATTTGGTAGGACTACCTTTGGCTGCCAGTAGCAAAGCACCTAAAGAAAGAACTTAACACTGTTTGTCTGTTATATGTAGAGACAACACTCTCTCATGTTAGGAGTGAATGATCCAGATAAGTGAAAAAACAGTCTAAAGAACACATTTGAAAGGTCTTTAAACAATTCTTTCAAAGTCTGCTTCCTAATAAGCAAAACGGGGGAATAATGAAGGGTCAAGCTTTTAGCACACAACTATAAAAGACACACTGGCGCCATGTTAATCTGTAATTTACAGAGTTATATTTTTCATACGCACTTGTTTCTCAGTGTGTGGCTGTACTTTGGCAGGACCTGGCAGAACAGCACCAGAAGACCTTGGGCCTGCTGAGGAAACAGCAGACTGTGATCCTGGATGAAGAGCTCATTCAGTGGAAGAGGAGGCAACAGCTGGCTGGCAATGGGGGTCCTAATGAGGGGGGGCTGGATGTTCTGCAGTCCTGGTAATTGTTGTTTTACATTCACGCATTAAAATATAATTTTACCAACTCCAACAGCTGTTTTTGTAATAGTGTAAACATGTGGAGAGTTGTTGTTCAGTAATGACAGTGATTAGGACATAACACACGAGTTTAGGATTTTCCCCCTTTTTACTTTGTTTGTTTAGTTTTATGCATATTTGTCACATAAATGTTTCTGGTCATCAAACAAATGTTGATGTAAGACAAATATAATCAGATATATATCAGAAAATAAGTAAGTACAAAATAGAGATGATTCGATTTATCCAAACTGACCCTGTAGGAAAAGAGTAGCTGGCACTTTAAAGCTAATAACTGGTTGTCCAGCCTCTGCAGCAAGATCTGTGCTGACGGCCAATTAACCTTTCACATCTCTGTGGAGGAGTTTTGGAGTTATCTTAATACAGACACACTGGAGGGTTTCTTCAGCATGAATGGCTGAATGGTTCATGCTAAAGCATCTTGGTCGTATTTGAAACTGGATTTTATTTATTAGGCCACTCCAACTTGTGCGCAGTCTCTTATTGTTGAGCTCTAACCTTCACTGAGACAGTGAGTCCCGCCGTTCTTTAGATGATGTTCTTCTGTAACCTCCTGGATAAGTCATTGGTGTGCTCTTTGGTTAGCCAACCATTCCTGGGAATGTTTACACCTGCTCCACGTTTTCTCCATGTGTGGATAATGGCTCTATCCATGGTTCAGTGAAGTACCAGAGCCTTAGAGACGGCTTTTTCACTCTTTCCAGACTCATAGATTGGCTCTCATCTGTTTCTTTGGATCGTGGTGTGACCTGTTTCATTCTGTCAGGCAGGTCTTTTAGGTCATCATGATATAAAAAAGACATTCTGTCCATATTAACCCCAAGTTGCTCTGTAGTGCATCTGTTGGAGTGTGACTGTGTGTGAATGAGCACTTAAACGTAGAAACAAGTGCTTGCATGGGTGAATGTTGTGCAAAGCTCTTTGAGGGCTCAGGTGGAGTAGAATATGTTTTATAAGATTCTGCATATTTACCATTTACAGTTACAAATAAATCTGTGAATCCACAAAAACGTATGAATGAATACAGGACAGGCTCAGACTTCTGTCTTTTTACACATTTATCATGAAAGAAACTGAGACTTACTGTTGAAATTGATCTTATTTTTCTGATGTTACAAACATCTGTTAAATGTTATGATAAATGCCTTTACGCTGATGTAAAGGACAGTATCAGCGGTTCGCCCCGCTCGATGTATGTGGCCGGTGATCTCTGGTGATCCTTCTGCTTCCTTGTTGCTCAGGTGTGAGAAGCTGGCTGATCTGATCTGGCAGAACCGACAGCAGATCCGACGCTGTGAACATCTCACCCAGCAGCTTCCTCTGCCGGGGCCCATGGTAGAGCTGCTGAGCAAACTGAATGCTGACATCACTGACATCATCTCTGCCCTGGTTACCAGGTGAGGAAAATTCAAACCAGATTACAGAGGCTCCATCCTCTTCAGATGTGGTCAGGAGAAACTTAAGAGCTTGATATGGTGACAATTGTAAGAGGTGGAGACTTGGCGTTACAGACTCTTAACACCACTTTCAAACTAATTAAAATAAAAAATATGTCCAAGTATGCTGTGTAAAGAATGTTTGCAGAGAGCTGTCCATGGAGAAAAAGGCTGGTAGGCAAGATGAAGCATTGGTAAATGGACCGTTTCTTCTGTAGTGGTGTTTTACTCTGAGCACTCTACACTGTTTCTCAGCGCTTCCTAGCTAACATTCATACGCCGATGTTTGCATCGGAGAGCAACATGGGCTTAGTATCTTGCCCAGAGATATTTGGCATGCAGACTGGAGTAGACTGGGATGGTATCACCAGCCTTCCAGTTAGTGGGTGACCTGGAAGAGTGTTGGTTGGCTCACAGGTGCAGAAAGGCAGTTTGACAGAGAGGTCCTGGATGGAAAAGATGTACAACAGGACGTCTGAAACTAATGATCTAGAAACTGAAAATGACAACAAAGAATCCTAACAGTGAAGGATCCACACAAACATCTGCTGACTACTGGAGAGTTATACGCGTCTCTCCACAACACGATGTGTCACATAGCGTAGGGTCCACCTGTGAAAGTGTTAGCTTCACACTGCCAGTCAACCAGACAAATTGATGGTTGACAAGACTCAGCGCTGTGACAGACATGCCAACGTCAGCTTCAGTAAGGAGCTGGGTAATCTGAGGCTGAAAGACCTGAAGCAGAGTATAGCCCAGAGCGGTCGTCATGTTCAGAGGAGCGTCACGAGCCTTAAGGCCCAAACAGGAAGAGAGGCTCAGCTTGACTCCAGGAGCAACACAGCACGTCTCAGGACAGAAGACTGACGTGTGTTTGGGACCTTCGTACTTCACCATCTGTCAGTGACTTTCTGAAACATAACCCACGTTTACATACCGAGTTTGTGTCACTTAATGCCTTTGCTTATCCTGCATGGTGTCTGTAATGTCATTATCGCTCTTCTTCACAGCACCTTCATCATCGAAAAGCAGCCGCCCCAAGTGTTAAAAACCCAGACCAAATTTGCAGCCACAGTTTGCCTCCTGGTGGGCGGGAAGCTCAACGTCCACATGAACCCACCTCAGGTCAAAGCTGTCATTGTTAGTGAGCAGCAGGCCAAGGCTTTGCTGAAGAATGAGAGTACGCACAGGTGAGGCTGTACAGGTGACATAAACATGTCGTTTTAACGTCATCATCATTGCTTTGAAGAACAGTCAGTGAGAATATGTTCAATCCTAAACAGTGAAAGCAGTGGAGAAATCCTCAATAACAACTGTGTGATGGAGTATCACCAGGCCACGGGCACCCTCAGTGCACACTTCAGAAACATGGTGAGTCTCTCTAAATAAAGCTGTTACACTTGTGCGTTTATCGGGCATTTTTGTCTGTTTTGGTTTTTTCTTTGTTTTGATTTGGGGATCATGATGGCTGTGTTCAAGCTTTTAACTTTGGTAAAAAAAAATAATGCAGTAGTTCAAATGTTTAATCTGGCACTTAAAGGGTTAAAGTCCTGAAAATAATTCAACGTTTGATCGTTTTGAAAAAGGCTCACGTTGGTTTAGTGATTTATGAAAAGAAGCAGACATGATTACGTAGTTCAACTAATATATATATACAGCAGGTAAAATAACGTTGAACACGTCAGCAGTTCTCTAAGTAAATATATTTCTAAAGGTGCTTTGATGTGAAATTATCACCAGATGTCGGTAACAACACTTCCAATCCAGACGTGCAAAGGAATCAAACCACAGATGAAGTTGTGTAATAATACAAAGTGACACAGGGACATTTATTTATTACTTTATACAAATGTTGGTGATGACAGTTCATGGCAGCGTCTGTATGGAGAAACCAGTCCCATCATTGCTCATGACTTTGATCCACTCACCACACAAACGGTCTCTAAATCCCGAATGCTCCGTGGATCCTTCCCACAGATTCGGGTCAGGTGATTGGCTGGGCCGTTCCAGCAGCTTTACTTGATTTCTCTGAAACCAACAGTTTCCATTGGCTGTGTTTGAGATCATGGTCTTGCTGAAACATCCATCCTTGTTTCATCTTCATCATCCTGGTAGATGGCAGCAGATTTTAATCAACAATGTCTCCATTCATCCTTCCTGGAGTTATACTTAACGTCTCAGTGCTGTACGCTGAATAAACAGCCCCCACCAGGATGCTCCCACCTCCAGACTTCAGTGTTGCTGTGGTGTTTTTGGGGTGTAGCCACCCAAACACGGTGTGTTTACAGCCTTCAAAGAGTCCAGTTTTGGTCTCATGTGACCAAACTATATTCTCCCAGCATTACACAGACTTGTCTAAATGTTGTTCAGCAAACTTTAAACACACTTCAACATGTTTGTCTTCAGCAGTGGAGTCTTGGTGGCTGAGTGCCTCACTGCGGCGGTCCCCAACCCCCGGGCCTCGGACAGGTACCAGGCCACGAGAGTTGAGGCTCAGGTGTGAAATGTGTGGTTTTCAGCGTTATTTTGTTATTGTTTTTATCATTAACTCGGTTTTCCTCGGTCTTTTCACGTGTGTTATGAATAAATCTTCTTTTTTTCGGCACCGGTACTAGTTTTATTTTGTTGTATTTATCCGCGACACCTTAAAGGCCGGTCCATGAAAATATTGTCGGGCATAAACCGGTCCGTGGCGCAAAAAAGGTTGGAGACCGCTGCCTTACTGCACTTTAAAACAATTGTAGCTGCTGATTCCCGGTGGTTTGTAGCTCTCCATCAGCGGCCCTTTGCAGTTTTTTCACCTGTCGGTCTGAAATCTTGTGGGGAGCAACCACAGCGACACAGCACAGATTAAAGATGGTACACGTCTCCTTTTCTTGACCAATGTCACTCTCAAACTAAACGGTTTCTATGGCACAGTGCAGTATGCATAAATGTTGATGACTGTTAGGACATAACAGAAGATGTAAATGTGATATATGCATGTTTTTATTTTTGTCTCTTCACTGTGACTGCATAGAGGAAATCCATCTGTAACAGATCCACTCTGACAAAATAAATGACAGACTGAATGTGATTATGAGTCACAACATTTACTGTAATCAGATAATCTGGTTAAATGTTCGTGTGTGTGTCACAGTCACTGAAGCGGATCAAACGCTCGGACCGTCGAGGTGCAGAGTCCGTGACAGAGGAGAAGTTTACCGTTCTGTTTGAGTCCCAGTTTAGCATTGGGGGCAACGAGCTGGTCTTCCACGTCAAAGTAAACCCCGTCTCCGTGTCTGATCTTTTTTAAGCATGAGTTAAACATGAGCAACCACATTTACTAGAGTAGACTGGAGTTTATAATTGAATTGTGGTGTGTTTCTGTAACCTGCAGACTCTGTCCCTGCCTGTGGTCGTCATTGTGCACGGCAGCCAGGACAACAACGCAACAGCTACGGTCCTGTGGGACAACGCCTTTGCTGAGCCGGTAGGTTGGCCGCCCCTCGTTGGCTGGTGACCTCAGTGCCTTCTTTAATGTTTGAGCACGATTTATGTTGTTTTTCCTCTGCAGGCCACGACAGCAGACTTGTGATTGAAGAGCAGGCTTTGAGCTGTTCAAATGAATTTTACAAAAAATTCACTTGAACAGCTTAAGAATTACAGCCTGTGTATTAAATAAGATGTAGCTGAAATGCCAACAAACTGGGGGTTCTGCTGAAGGGAAGGCCTCACGCCTACAGAACTATGTTCTGTACAGACTAATGATGCTGTGGAACCTGTGCCAGGCCGACTAACCCATCTCGTCCTGTTTCTTTCTGCCATAGAGCTCCACTGCTGTCCAAATACTCGGACGTGTCCTCACGCAGCCTCAGTGTTATTCTGTGACCTGGAATAAATCCACATATTTTGAAATAAACAGTGAATATGTGGAGACAGATAAAATGCAGTTGGAAGCTGAACTTTTTTCCTCCTCTCATCAGGGCAGAGTGCCGTTCATTGTGCCAGAGAAGGTGCTGTGGCCCCAGCTGTGCGAGGCCCTCGATATGAAATACAAGGCAGAGATGCACAGTGGGCGTGGCCTGTCAGACGACAACCTGGTCTTTCTTGCACAGAAGGCTTTTTCAAGCAGCAGCAACAACTCTGACGACTACCGCAGCATGACCATATCCTGGGCCCAGTTCAACAGGGTGAGTCCCTCCTGGGAAAACAAACAAAAACAAACAAACAGAAAGCTCACAACTATGGGACAGAGCAAGTATCAACAAATAACCACAACATGGCAGGTCATTGTGACCACAGAAGCAGTCCCAGGTGCACTCAGGGCCTTTCAAGGATAACCTCAGACATCCGAAAACCAAACACAGAAAATACAATAATAATAATAACAATAACATAACAACATTGATAATTACAGAAAGAATTTTAAAAACAAAGAACTCAAAAAAAAAAGTGAGCAAAACAGAAAACCCATCATGTGAATGAATATTTGATCCTCGGATTTACCAATTTGTATACCAAAGTACGTGAAGCCATTATCACACCACTGTAATGGGTCAGTCAGAGCTCTAATACGGCTGTCTTGTATATTTGATGGCACGATCTCACTTTTGGTGTAGTTTAACTTGTATCCTGAGGCTGCACTTTATTCTTTAAGACACTTCATTAAGGAGGGAATTGATTTAAGAGGGTCCGTTATGTACAGTAGGAGGTCATCTGCGTATAGAGAAAGTTCACTTGTGCCAAATTTGATTGCAGATATGGAGGCACTAGTACGAATGGCAGCGGCTAGTGGTTCAATCGCAATCGCGAAGAGGAAGGGGAGCTTGGACAGGCTTGTCTGCAGCCTCTGGTTAAAGAGAAAGTGCCTGAGAGCACATCATTTGTTGTGATATTGGCTCTGGGGGCATTAAAAAGTGTCCTAACATAACAGGTGAACTTCTCTCCAAAGCCCATAGCTTCCATCGCCTGAAATAGAAAGCTTGGCTCAATCCTGTCACATGCTTCATTAGCGTCCATGGAGATTGTTAGCAGGGGGTCTTGGTTTTTTTGAGCAGTGTTCAGTATATGGAGCAAACGTCGCACATTATCTGCTCCGTGCCTGTTTTTAATGAAGCCTGTTTGGTCAGTGTGTATTATCTTAGTCATGATGTCTTCCAATCTCAGTGCAATTACTTTAGATAATATTTTATAATCTGCATTTAAGAGGCTGAGGGGTCTGTAAGAGTCACATCTGTTTGTCCTTGCCCGGTTTCAGGAGTATTGTGATTGTTGCGATTTCCAATGATTCTGGTAATTTATTATTTTCTAAAGCTTCTTTAATCATATTTGTAAGTGGTGTCAATCATTTATTAGAGAAAGCCTTATAATAATCGACTGGGAATCTTATTAATTTGTAAACACTTGAGGGCTCGGAGAACCTCCATCTCAGACATATCTGCATCAAGCCGTTCTTTGTCCTCATTATGTAATTTAGGAAGAGTTATTCCATCTATAAATCTTTTTGCAGCAGTAAATGGCCTGTATTTACACTGAACAAAAATATAAACGCAACACTTTTGTTTTTGCTCCCATTCC